GCGGAGGTGGGGGCGGGGCGGGCGCAGGGGGCGGCTCCCCGCTCACTGCGCTCAATCTGTCGCACAACCAGTTCACCAGCGTGCCGCCGCCGCTCGCCTGCCTCGCGCCGTCCCTCACCAGACTCAATATGGCCTACAACTCGCTTAGGTAACTATAATATACCTTTAATTAGAAGATTCACACATGCATTTGAATGTGACGTGATTGTTATTATGTTTTAGGTCGATGTCGTACGTGACGTCATATCCGACCAGCCTGCGCCAGCTGGACCTCAGCCACAATGAGATCACCTGCTGGCCCAGTCTGCCCCAAGTCAGTTTTCGTCCCTCACTTCCATTGACAAACACCTTCAACAGCTACGACGCACTTTAACATTGAATGTCTCTCAGGTGGAAAGCTTCGGTCTGTCAGACGGTGACCCCCTGGCGTGTTACTGCCCCAATTCCTCGGGCAGCAGCAGCAGCAGCAGTGGGGGCGGGGGCGGGAGCGTGAGGCCGCGGCCGCGCTCCGGTGGGTCGGTGCGCTCCCAGCTGCTCAGCGCCGCCTGCCCCGCGCGAAGGCACCTAAGGCTCGAGGGTCTAAGGACTTTGGTGAGAGGACCCACCTTTTACCACCCCTCTCCTTCAATTCACAGTCGCGGGTAACAACTAGTATATTTCTAAATTTGCAGATCCTCGCCAACAACTTGCTGAGCCGCATCCAACTGACGACGGACGACGACGGCCTGGCCACCGCCGTGCAGCAACACTCCAACGACGAAGACGACGAGTGGGTACGTTCACATGGGAGGTGCAATATACAGGAATATGTTTCTGGTGAGGCTATACATGTATATGTATTGTTGACCTCCCAGGGGTCTGGATGCAGCGTGAAGGAGCGGCTGCTGTTCCCGCTGCTGTCGATGCTGGACGTGTCGTGCAACTGCCTGCGCGCGGTGCCGCCAGCCATACACGAGCTCACCAACCTCTCCGTGCTCAACATCAGCGGCAACAAAGGTGTGCTCTGACATTAAACCCACTCACCTCTATAAATGGACAGGCACCATTTTTCGCGTATGGTTGCGATTGCTATCAGTGGTGAAGATTCGAATTAATAATAGACATAATTAATTGTCATGATCTTTAACAGACGCATTTAAATCAGAAAGGAGCAAAAGGTTGTCACATCGTCAAGTTGACACGAGTCAGAAGTGAGAGTGAGCAGAGAGTGTGCATGTTGCAGACATAACAGATCTGCCGCCGCAGATGGGCCTGCTGACGCGGCTGTGGAGCCTGAACACAGCTGGATGTGCGCTGGGGGAGCCGCTGCGGTCGCTGGTGCGGGGCGCGCGGTGCCGCAGTGTGGACGTGGTGGGCTACCTGCGCTCCGTGCTGCAGGAGGCCAAGCCATACGCTCGCATGAAGCTCATGCTCGTCGGAGTACAAGTACTGTCACAATATACCTAACTCTAATTGTTCATTAAAAAAAAAAATGACCTGCCTGTGACACTTAGGGGAACAATATTATATAATATATTGTTATAATTTAAGTAACATTTGCGTTGAAACAGGGTATTGGCAAGACGAGTCTGCTGGAGTGTTTACGACAGGAATCCGCGATGCAGCATCGCAGGAAACCTACAGATGTAAGATATGCAAGGCAAATTGTAACTTATTACAATTGTGTTAAGATGGTATTTAGGTATGAGCGGTGTGCGTGTTGTCCAGCACTGGGCGAAGCGGATGGGCAACAAGTCGTCGCGGCGCGGCAACGTGTCTACAGTGGGCGTGGACATCGGCAGCTGGGTGTACGAGAAGCACCGCTCCTCGCGAGGTCCTGTCACCTTCCGCACCTGGGACTTCGGTGGACAGCAGGAGTAAGTTCACACAATACTTTACTGTAATCACGTATAACTGAGGGAATGAATGAATGAATGACTGAGTGAATGATTGAGTTAATTCATGAATAAATAAAATATTATTTATCAACAGCAATCATTATTAAGAAAATTTTATATTGCGTTAAAGTTGTTGACTGGTTAGGTATATTATCTGTGCGACTATATGTATGAGGTGATGTGAGGTGTATGTATGTATGTATGTATGTATGTGCAGGTACTACGCGACGCACCAGTACTTCTTGTCGCGGCGGTCGCTCTACCTGGTGGTGTGGCGCTGCACTGACGGCCGGCAAGGTCTCGCAGGCGCCCTCGCGTGGCTCAGGTAATCATTCAAAATAACATTAATCTGCTTAAAAATATTGTTAAATGAATAAAAAATTTCTGAAAACAAACTTCCTTTTTAATGTATCTGTTACAAAAATTAAAAAAAAATAGTCTAAAATAGCAAAAAGTATCGCCCCCGGGTGGGCTCGAACCACCAACCTTTCGGTTAACAGCCGAACGCGCTAGCCAATTGCGCCACGGAGGCACTGACAGACTCAACGAAAATATGTCTCAAAACACCAATGAGATATAATTTTAAGGATATTTTCTTGTCATTGTATATTGAATTACAATATAGAGTGACAACAGATCCGATAGATCCAGTGGACATAACTTAAATTAAAGTATAACAGCTCATTACGCCATTATAACTATTTTTTCCTTTTTTTCACCGCTCTTTTATTTTTTTTATGACGTTTTCTTTGCCTAAAATAAAAAAGGCGTTTTTTATTACATTTTCCTTCTTTGTTTTATATGTCAGGTCTATACAAGCGCGCGCCCCGGGCTCGCCCGTCATCATGGTGGCTACACACTACGACCAAGTCGGCAACGTAAGTGTTACAAATTGTTTGTATAAACGATGCATATTTCTGTAGCATACAGACTTAGGAACGTTGTGATATCACAGAGCGGTCTGCCGGAGAGCGAGAGCCCCTCAGCGCTGCAGCGGCTGATCAGGTCTGCGGTGATGGCGGCGCCCGACGCGGACAAGCTGGGCCTGCCGCGACTGCTGGACTCTATAGAGGTCACCATCTGTGTTTGCTGCACACACGCACCCGACTACTGCTGCTGTTGACTGAGAACAAACTTATATTAATATTATTGTGTACAGGTGTCGTGCAGCACGAGACACAACATCCGCCTGCTGGCTGACATCATCTACTCTGTGGCATTCAGTGTCAAGCCGCCAGGTGACATGTCCCCCCCCCTCCTGCCCTCCTCCCTCCTCGCAATGTGAAGAAGCATTTAGATGTAACATAAGTAATGTGGTGATGCAGGCAGCAAGGAGCCGCTGCTGCAGCAGCGCGTGCCGGCCACCTACCTGGCGCTGGAGGAGTGTGTCACGGCGCTGGCCGCCGAGCTGCGCGAGCCCGTGCTGCGACATGACGACTACAAGCGCCTCGTGAGCACACACACACGCCTTGCCCTACACCCGAGATCTGAACCTCTAGGAACCTCAGGAAATCCAAGGACGGTGTATCAAGCCGGTTTGGTTTATGTGTTATCTTGGGTGTAGGTGACGCAGTACATGCAGCAGCGCAACCTGCGCATGTTCCGTGACGCCGCCGAGTTGCACCAGGCCACCATGTTCCTGCATGAGAACGGTAACTATTACGTTTGTCTGTGTGTGAGGTGGTGCGAGATGTGTGAGGTGGTGCGAGATGTGTGAGATGAGATGGGTCGTGTTGCAGGCGTGTTGCTGCACTACGACGACGCGACGCTGAAGGAGCTGTACTTCGTGCGGCCGCAGTGGCTGTGCGACGTGCTGGCACACGTCGTCACAGTGCGGGAGGTCAACCCCTTCGCTAACAATGGTAAGTGCCAACAGATATCTGTCACTGGTCCTTCAAGTCGGATGCATGCGATTGTCACTCGTACAATTACAGCCTAAAGATATCTGAACCGGTGAGAGGCGCTGCTGTCGCGTTTGCTTCCGGCCTAATTTATGTATATATATATTTTTATATCATAAGGTGGCAATCGAGCGAGCGGGCACTTGAAATCGCTGAAATAGCGAAGTGACCGTTGCCCATAGACATACAAAACGACATGATGTTGCGTGTGTGTGATGTGCAGGTATAATGAAGGTGGAGGACCTGGCGCACGTGTTCAAGGCGTCCCCGCTGCTGGCGCGCAGCGAGGAGGCGCGCGCGCTGGCGGTGTCGCTGCTGAACAAGTTCGAGCTGGCGCTGTGCTGGGACGCGCGCGTGCTGCTCGTGCCGCCGCTGCTGCCCGCGCAGGAGCCCCTCACTCCGCAGGTACACACGCGCACCTCCCACTCTGCTCGCTACGTGTCATTGCTGTCTCAGCTATCATAAGTGTACTTTGGTCGGTCAGTTGGCGCTGCGCACGCGCACGTGGCCGGG